CATTTCATCGTATAAGTCTAGTTAGAATAATGCAACCTGTTAACTCAACCAATTTGACTAAAGCACCTACTGATGGGAGTTCTAAAAATAAAAAAATTAATTACTTTATATGTTACTAAATAAGTCATATGAAAACCTAATGCAATACCCAAATCCTTTTGTTAAAAAAAAATTGAAACTCATGTAAATGACGACCTAGAAGAAATATATAATGATACACCTCTTTCAGATGAGGAGTTAGAGTTAATAGGTGACCCTCAAATCATTATGATTCAATTTCTAATCATAATAATAAAAATAACAAAAGATTGAAGATGGAAGAATATTTTTAGTATGTATGTTATGCGCAATGAAAAAAAGTATAGGTTAATCATAGATGGACAAACTACAATGAATATTATCTCAACTCACTCACTTTCAAAAGCCACCCTAAAAACTAAACCTCATCCCAAGCCCATTCAAGTTAGTTATGATGAGACAATAAAAAAATAGGTATTCTAAATGGGTAAGTGGAACTCGTCTTTAATGTCCACTAACTTCCTTCATTTTTTCCTCTATTTTCTTTTCCGATAGTTATCATGCAATGCTCTAAATATGAGCTTATATGTATTGTAATTTTTAATATTTTTGAATGAAATAATTTTGTGGAGAAGTTCTCTTTATTTACTTGGTGCTTTAAGTGTTGGCCGCATTTTTGATGAGATTAGGTAGTTATTCTTTTTTGTTTTATTTTACTTACAAATTCCCTTAAATACCTTCTCTAAATTATTAAAAACTCTTCCTATTCTTTATAAGCATTCTCTAAGACCAATAAACCAGCAATCAAAATCATAAAACTCTTCTAAATACTTTCATATAACTATCAACCCAAATAGAAAACACCTGGACCTAGTCTTATTCCCTACACTTTCAAATATTTCTAAGAAAAGGATATCTACGAAGAGAACTTATCCACAAAATTATTTCATTCTAAAAATTAAATAAAGAAGGTTATATAAAGTTTTCTTACAAGTTATATTACCTATGGACGAGTTTTTATCATTCACTCCCCAAAAGTAGTCTGTACACATGATCTAAAAAGAAGATATGAAGATTTCACACCTTTCTCTAACATTTGAAGTAGGATGAAGTGAACACTTGCTAAGAACTGGCTCAAATGCAATGATTATAAAAGCTTGCGGGTCCCCAATAACTTGACTCACAAATATGTTCCTCCTCCAGTGTAATGTGATAGCCTCATCACTTACCAAGTCCACCTTTTCAAGGGATTTAATTCTCCTTTTCAATTCCTCAAACTTAGATATAACATAATGCAAGTTTTTCCTCTATGATTAGAACTTGCCTAGGTAGAGCCTCCAAGGAAGAAGACACGGGGCATAAGGATATCAACATATTGATGATTGGATGAAGAGTTAGACTCGTAGACTGTTAAAGTCAACAACAATGGAGTAGTGAGGATTTCTTGGGATGGAGACAACTACACCTATTTCTATAGGGTTTACCTTTGTGGACTTGATAGCCTTTATCATAGAGGGATAGCATAGAAATTGGCATATGACCTTCTGTCATGTTATATGCCATAGAAGTCATCCCTATCATATGGAGAAAGAGCCAAAAAGAGATAATTATTTATCCGGTATACTAAGGGAGACCTTGAGCAATCAATTATGGAGATCCAATAATCTTATATGCAAGCTACTATCCACAGAGGCAGAGCCAATGCCTCAAACCCATTCGACAAGTGACCTAATAACATGCTTGAGGTTTGATGGATTCTGAGCATACTTGAGATCAGTGACACATGACCACTAGACATAAGTTGCTTAAAATTTGAAAAGAATCATTCATACCACTACTTGCCATTTATGATTACATGACTTCTCCCACCATGTGGTTATGGCTACTAGTAGGCTTCACCTAAGGGCGAGTTAGCACCTTGGAAGCAAAAATTGCCATCTCAAGGAAAACACTCATCATGATCAACACCCGATAAGCTCAATGTAATCTATAGATTCATCTAGTGTGCCTTTCACTAAGGGGAACATAGCCATAGCTTGAAGAATGAACCACCAGCACTTTTCTCGGCTCAATAATCATCTCCTTATTCAACAACGTTTCTTTTTTTTACTCAGCATGATCCCCATTGCCTTATTTTACTCGTTGTTCATAATTTTTCTCAGCTTAATTGCTATTTCCTTCTTCTTCTTCTAAGTAACTTGCCTGAACTTCCCTGTTGATGTTCTTGTTCCAACTTACTAATCCTATCAGTAGGGCAAGGTGCCGCCCATGATTACATTTGAATCCAACACAAGAAGTACTATTCTCTTTAATCATTCTATGCTCATTGATAAAACAACATTATTCACATTTATTTGAACCCTAAAATCTCTAATCCTACACATATCACTTTGAAGCTCTCACCTTTGTAGGTAGAGCCGGATTGATAGTAGTAGCCTTAATGGCATATCCCCACCAACCCATTAAAAATAAAATTTTAATTGAAAGTTGATTAGCATTTGATTATGAAAATAAAACTACATTAAATATCTTGAATATTCATCCAATTTCAATAAAAAATGGAAATAAAACTATCGTAATAATAGAAATAAAACTACATTAAAGTTGCAGCTCTCTTTCCCCACTCTTCTTCTTCTTCTTCTTCTTCTTCTCTCTCTCTCTCTCTCTCTATTTAAGACCCTCTTAACCGTTTAATCATAATATTGACATATGCAATGTCCATTCGAAGAAAGAGAACCGCCCCCATGAAGCTAAAACTTCCAATGCCAATCCCAAATTTGAATGGAAAAAAATTGATGATATTTTTAAAATAAAAAATTTATGCCCTACAAAAAATCTTGACTTGGCCAATGCAGCTAGAGTTTAGCCCATGAGAAATTATTTTGTGCGGAGATTAGACACAGCTCTACGCCTGTAGGCGAATCAAGTGCAGTCACGTGAGCGGTACCAAGCAGTACGCCGTAGTATATATCAAAGTGGTGACATGACACAATTTAATTGGTCTTCGGTCAGCATTCACCGTTAGCCCAGAATAATTAATCTTGATCTACACATCATTTTTCATTCAAATTGGAAAATTCCCAACTCATCCCCATAGGCAAAACGACAATCAATCCATTGTGTCATTTCCTCAACTCTCCATATACTGATATTCACATAGAAAATCAAATATCAGAAGAAAATATATCTTTTTTAAATTTTATTTGTGTTGGCAGAATTTGATTGAGAGTTTATTTTTTATTTTTTAATTATCAACTGAAATAGATAATGACGAAGAAAGTTTACTTCAAAGGAGGGCGAGTTTTTTAATTGGCTACTTTTCCTTCGCAACTGCTAATGCTTTTGGCATTATAGTAAATAAATAAAAAAAAATCTGGAAGGAGAATCACATCATAGCTGTACAGGATTACAATATAACATAGAAATCTTTTAAAATAAGTAGTAATTGACCAAATTTATAATATTTATCATACAACATAATAGTGATAACTCACTTATAGTCTGTTAATTATTTATATATGGATAATTTTGGATATTTTAGGGAGAGTGTTTTTGCTTGTTTGATTTTCACATAATAATTATAATTTTGTTTGACTTTTTTCTGATTAATTTTTAAAATTTTTTATGATAAAAGACGGCTTTTTTTTTTAGCTAGAATAGATATGTTGTTGTTTTTTAATAACAGCTTCACGATCAATTTCATAAAAAACTGTAGTTATTTCAAATAAATCCTTAGTCTTTCATTTTTTTAACTAATTTGCTGCGACATAGGGCTGAATCAGTAAATCGTGGCAGCAAATGCTGCTCTATCACTTACAATACATCCGTCACGAATTTAAGTCGTCTACAAACGATTCAAATAAACCCTTAGTCTCAGAGTATGATGTTGCTCTAATTTAAAATTTATTTGGGACAGCTTTTTCATTACTTTGTTTTCAAAATGTAACTATATTTATGTTTAACTATTACTTCTTTACAAATTTTTTTCGCTATATTTTTAAAAATTTTATGTTAAGAATCTATTTTTTTTACAACCAGAGTTAGGGCTGTCAAAACCGGGTCACGGGTCGGGTTCGGGTCCAACCCGAAATTGACCTAACACTGTTCAACCCGACCCAAACCCGACCTGTTTTTGCAAACGGGTCGGTTTTCTGAACCTTAACCCGACCCGCTTCTGGTCCGGGTCAACCCGAACCCGACTCGATTCGGGTATATTTTGTTAAATTTTTTTATTTAATTCAATTTATTTAAATCTAAATCAAATTAAGGTAAGATTTACTTCAATTAATTTAAAATAAATCATGATTAATTTAATTTGGGCAATAATGTTTATAATTTTTTGAAATATCATTTACTTATTTCATAAAAATCCATTAAAACCCTCCTAAATTTATTAAAAATCAAACCGGGTTGATTTTGGGTTTTCGGGTCTACCTGAACCCGACCCGGTTCGGGTTCGGGTTGACCCGAACCCAAAATTTTCGGGTTGGGTCAAATATTGACACCCCTAGCCAGAGTTACTAATATGTGATAGTTTTAAGAAAACAACAATTAGATTTTTTAAGAAAGTATATATTTATAATATTCATAACAATTTTTAAAAAAGTTATTTTACTCACAACAATTTTACAATAACCTTTATAAAATGCTACAACAGTTCCAAACAAACTATTAACCTCCCGATTCTATAAAATTGATTAAAAACGATCATTTTGAAATTAAATTAGGATAATTTTAATTAAATTAAGGAATTAAATTTAGATCAATTTTATACATAATTATAGTTATATTAATCATTTTAAATTAATTTTTTATAATTAGGGTCTAAATTAAAGCAATCTGATAATTTTAATTTCAGAGTAAAATTAATTAAAAATGAAAATTCTGTGGATTATTTTGAAATTTTGTCGTACATTATTTGATTAGGAAGTATCATCCACGTTGTAATAAATAAATACAAAATAAAGAAAATGGTTCGGACCTACTCAACCAACATCGCCTGTCACTCGGTTCGCCGCTCCCTATCTCGCTCCACCAACTCCCGAGTCCCCGCCGAATACAGAGCAACAGCGAGCGAGCGAGCGAGCGAGAGAAAGAGAGAGAATCTGGGTATCCATTGGGGGTGAAATTCCAATCTCTGCTTTCTTTCTTCGATTCGGATTCCTCGAAAAGGGCCGGAAGGTTCCCGCTTGATTTGTCCATCGACAGGACACGGTTGCGGCCGGCCCCGGATGGAACTGAGGTCCCCTGTAGGTGATGTGGCCGCTCTAACGAGTTATAGACATGAAGTTTCAATCATGGAGCTCGAGCTCAGAGTATCGTGTGATCTATAATCTATCGCTGCAAGTGGAATGAAATGGCGAGTGCTGGATTTAGCCGGAGCGTGTCCGCTCGCCTCAGCTACCGCAATGTCAGCGTCAGCAGCCCTAGAGTTTCCACTTCCGCTCATCGAAAATGGTTGGTGCCTGGATATTTCTTTAACGCGCTTGTCCTCGTCTTCTTCCTCGTTTCCCTTGTTCTCGTGCTGGGTTGCGTTCTGTACTTGTATTGGTTTCGGTATCTGTCCCGCGGCGGGAACGGGTTGGTCTCAGCGTTCGGTGGTATTGGCGAGGGCTGCAATGTCTTCGAGGGGAACTGGGTGCCGTCCGATTCGTATCCATTGTACAATAGCTCATTGTGTCCTTTTATAGAACGAGGCTTCAATTGCTTGGCCAATGGTAGGATGGACACAAACTATCTCCGGTGGAGGTGGAGACCTCGGCTTTGTGAAGTGCCTAGGTTTGATGCCTTTGAGATCTTGGAGAGGCTCCGTGGGAAGAGGATTGTGTTTGTGGGGGATTCAATGAGCAGGACGCAGTGGGAATCTCTCATTTGTCTGCTGATGACGGGAGTGGAAGATCCCCTTAGTGTGTATGAGATCAATGGGAACAATATCTCGAAAACTATTCAGTTTCTGGGAGTTCAGTTCAGATCTTTTAACTTCACTGTGGAGTTCTTCCGTTCAGTGTTCCTTGTGCAGCAGGGTCTGCCTCCTAGATACGGGCCTAAGAGGGTTAAAATGACTCTGAAGCTTGATAAAATGGATAATATAAATCGAAGATGGGTTGATTCTGACATTCTGATCTTTAATTCTGGACATTGGTGGACTCCAACTAAATTGTTCGATGTGTAAGTTCTGTATTCAGCTGAATCTCCTTTTTTTTTAATCCTCGTTACCTCACTGTTATATGCCGAGAAACATTATAGGAGCTTTGTCTTTCAGTGCTATCTAAGTGGTCATCTGTTTTGCTGGAAAATTACTTTTTTTGTATTGTGTAGGATAATGACCACACTTTTGTATCAGGGATTTATGATTTTTTATGTTAAACTCATTTCCTTTTTGCTTTCTTCTCCCGGAGTGTTCAAATGATCCTTGCTGTAAAATTTGGATACATCTCTCGTTTTGTTGTTTAACTAATTCATCAGCTATATTAGTAGTTTAAATTTTATGCATATGTGCTTGCAATTTTTACATTCATTGTTAAAGTTTGATGACAGCTGCTGTAGTAAGAGAGAGCTAGATGAATTCCTGTATTCAGTTAAGAAGAATAGGAACAGAGGAGAAGAATAACTAGAAGTAGAATGTACTAGAAAACTGATAGGAAATACTTGCAAAAATCAAAAGAATTTTGGCTGAAATTGGAAATTGCAGTAAGATAAAATAGAAACTGAGAGAAACTTGGTGGCAAAACACTAGGGAAACTTGATAATTGATGAAAATGGAAGAAAACAAACAAGATACAATTGATCTTCAATTTGAGAGGAAGAACCGGTTCTCCTAATCTCTAGCCGGTGGCTAGAGCCCAAGCAAACCCTAAGAGAAATACAAATTCAGCCAAAAAAATAACATAACCCTAACCCTAAGATGAAATAACCATTAAAAGCAAACAATACGAAGTAAAAGTTCAAAACAGCCCCTCTATTTCAAGGTTCTCTCTCACCCGCCCCTTTTTCTCTCTTCCTTAATGTGTAGACCCCACCCCAAGGGGGTGGGCTAAGCTTAGGTGGAATCAGGCTTTTGTCTGGTATAGACATAGGTCAGTCCCTCCCGACTAGCTGGACCTGCACCTCCTGGGCCGGTCTAACAAAACTTAATTGTATTTCTTTACAACTTCTTATATATATATATATATATATATGAAATGAGAAGCAGGTGCTGATTTCATCCCATGGGAGGTTTTAATTGAACGGTATAGATACTTCAATTAGTTGTTGATCTACGGTGGTGATGACTTCTGCAATGGAGTGCCGTGCTAGGTTGCAGAGAGATGGATTGGTGGGATAGCAATGTGAGATGGCTGCTCGCATATCAACAGAAATTATCAACATATGACTTATCATTACCCCTCAAATTAAGTGTCTAAAGCTTGGAGAGTTAATTTGTCACGCATAATCTAAAAGCGAGATGGAGCAAAAACCTTAGTTAACATGTTAGTTGGTTGATCTTTGGTGTCAATGTGGTGGACAACAATTTCATAGGAGTTGATATGGTCACATATGAAGTGATACTTATTTCAATATGTTTGGTGCGGATATGGAAGACAAGATTATTTGCTAAAGCCATGGCTGAAATTTTATCACAATGAAGAGGAATAGGTGCAGTGGAGGGGATACTAAAATCAACAAGTAAGCATCGAAGCCACACAATGTCGGATGCCGCAAATGCTAAAGCCCGATATTTAGCTATTCAGCTTCAGTAGATGATTTAGCCACTGTTGGTTGCTTCTTCCAATAAATTAAGTTGGGATCGAGGTAAGAGGAATAGCTGATGATAGATTTGCAGTCTAGTGGATCAGAGGCCTAATTTGAAGTGAGATCCTTCTGAGTGATAGGCAGACTGAGATGGATCATTCTTTTGATATAGCGAAGTAAGAGCTTCATTTGTTGAAAGTGTTTGTTGAGTGGATTGTGCATGAAATGACAAAGATAATTTGTTGTGAAAGCAATGTGGGGTTGAGTAATCGTGAGATATTTCGATGAACCAGTGTTGATAAAGAGCTGGGTTAGAGAAAGGTTGGTCGCCATCAGCCGCAAGTGAAGGTTGTGGGGAAGTTGGGATGGGTATTGGTTTACATTCGGTGACATCAAATTTATGTAGAGTATCTTGGGCATATTTGGATTGTTGAAGAAAGTAGGAATTGGAAGTGGAGGTGATTTGAATACCCAGGAGGAGAGAGACATGACCGAGATCTTTGGAAGAGAAATGATGTTGAAGATCGATAATGTGGGTGGAAATGGCAGAGGGTTGATTACCCGTGATGATGATGTTATAAAGTGATATAATGCCAAAGGGGAGGACTTATCACAACCATTGTCAGATCAAGGTCACTTTAGAAGTGGATTGTTAGAAACTGTATCCAGAAAAAATGTCATCAATAAAAGAGGAAAGGACTCTTGACACTATTGCCACACCAGAAGGAGAGGACCCAATATAACCACGTGTGCATCAAGTAGATTTATTAATATTTTTAATGATTGTAAACCTCAACAAAGCAAGGAATGTGTTTTTCATGTTCAACATGATGGTTTATAACTACGTGGTCAAGACATTTGTGGAAACTAGGAGCAACACGAACATGTTTTTTTTAGTTTGTGGAAAGATTGGGGTTGCCATAATCAATTATCAACATAATTTTCTTCTAAGTTGGATAAGCAATTGTGGTAAATTATGTGGTGTAATATCAATGCAAACTCAAGTTCATTATCCTAGGGGTATTAAGGATGAAGTAGTATGTGATGAAGTACGATTGGATGCCTACTACATGTTATTGAGAAATCCTTATGGGATAGGAATGTTGTCTATTATAGAAAGGGGCAATTGTACTTTTTTACGAAAATAAATGAAAATACATTATTATGAAGGGATATCCACTCAAGAGTTTTTATAACAACCCCTAGTTCTCATCTATAAATATTCCAGCTACTTTATCAATAATCCTAAGAGCATGTCCTAGCAGTCCATGGAAAATTATGAGTGAAGAGGAGGCAGTAGGATGATCAAGCAAAGAAAAATGGCTTATATATGGACATACAATAGCTAAAAAAAGAAGCGGGGTTCTGAGTGGGAATGGGGGTGTGATCTAGGAGGATCTCTATTTTATTTTAGAAGATCTCTGAGACTTTGTATTCCAAATGGTTCTTTTTGACATTAATATAAATTTTGGTTCATCAATTGAGGCCAGTAAAAGCTTTAGATGGAAGAGATCAGGTCAAGCAACCCCAAGTTAAAGCTCATTAAAAATAGATATATGACAATATAATTATTTGAATCTCACGTATATCTAGTAATGTTTAAGATTTCACAATTAAGTATTGAGGCATTTTTTGATCGTGAGGTGAAGCGTAAGCTTCAAGGCGTTTTTGAGGCATGAGCCTCTAAATAAAAAATTGCATAAAATACAAAGAAATGTTAAAAGTGATTTTTTATATAATACTCAAATTATATGTTAAAATGATATATTATCTTTCTATTGAACTTTGAAGTAACACATTGAAACAAAAAATTGCACAAGACGGAAAGTGGCTTGTGATAAATTGCATGAAATATAATTGAAATAAAAATATTACATGAGCAAGAAAATATTAAATATAAAAACTGCATTAAAGTATCATATAATATTAAGTTCAACTCAAAATTCTTTATTTCTCACTTTCCTACTCATCTATTTTTAATTTCTAAAAAAGCTGAAATAGTTGACAACAACTAGAAAATTATCTATACTATCATCATTGAGGGGATCTTTATTTAAATCATCATTATAACAAATTGGTCTATTTGTTGTCTCAACCTATAGAATCCAATGCCTCCCAATATACTTATTCTTCATTTATTTTAGGCATCTTACTCTTTCATAAGTATTTTTCATCAACATAAATATGAGATTAATACTCCAAAATTTTTAGAGGTGGTGTTGTTGTGCGGTTTTCAAGTGATCCTTGACGACCACTATGACAGCGATGGTTGTGGCGAAGGTGACATGCTGGAGGTTGAGGCAGTATATATATATATATATATAGGGTGAGGCGTAAGCCTCACGCCAACGAGTCGAGGCGTATCTCAAGGTGGGCCTCAACTAAGCTGAAGTGCAAGCCTCATAAAAAAAAACTGTGCTGAGGCGGGCATCAATGCGAGCCTCATATTCCGCAATTTTAAACATTGATATCTATGTGATATTTTTTTCTTTCCTAAAGTTGAGGAAGAATTTATTGATTTTTTGAAGGTTATTCCTAAACTTAAGAAATTATTTTCTCTTTTATGTAACTTTGTTTCCTTGAATTGTTGAAAGTTCTATACGTGCTTTGAATTTAAGGTTAGTTGCTTTATTAAAGGGATAAAGATCTATACATATTTACTCCATTATATAAAGATTAATTTTGAGTTTATCTATCCTTATTCTTAATTATATGAATATGGATTTAGAAATCAATTTTATAAGCTAGTTGGATGAAATAAAGTTTGCCAATTTCAATCCTTCAAAATTCTCCCAGCAATCTCTATCAATCTTTTTTTTTTCTCTTTCTTATTTTTGCCTAGCCACTGTAGTTGCAAGCCTTCAGCCCTTCTTTCAGTTGCCAACCTTCAACATTCCTTACTACTACGACCTTAATCCTTTAGTTGCTAGCTTTCCGAAGTATATATGAAGTTTGACTGCAATTGCTATCCATTTTCACCATCATGTTGCTATGAGGGCTAATTACGCACTGTTTTGTGGAAATAAGAGAATTTGTAAAGGTAAAAGAAGGTGACATTCAAAGGGAAAAATGAAAGTTATATAGAAAGTGGGAGCTTTTATTCCAACTCAACACCTAGATTTACATTGGTAAAGTGCGATTTTAAGTTTATGCAATGTTCTTGTATAACCATGACTGTCTGTGTAGGTACCTATTCACAGATGTTTTGCAGGTTACGTTCGTGTCGAACAAAAGGAGGATTCACTCCTCTCTCGGAATAATTTTTTCGAGTGACTCTCCTGGGAACTGGAAAGGTGCTTAACACTAGAGGATGACAGACGAGCTTCAGCCACATCCTCTCCAGCGAGTGCAACCTTAGAAGTTCTTCTCTCAGTAAGATAAATCTTTATTCATCCTGGTCAGGGTCAAGCGTCTACACGAGACACATCGACAATCAA